CACAGCTATAAAAAAAAAAAAAACAGATAGCAGGGGATCCTGGAAAGGTTAACTCTTTGAGCAGGATAAACCTTTCCGGGATAAAATGTTTCTCTCCGAACATATGTTAACAAAATAAAGATCAGCTTGCAATTGCAAAAATGTATGTAGCAAACGGGCCTGAAAAGAGGATCTGTATTAGATACAGCAACCAGCAGCTAATATACACAAGGCAGATGAGACAATGGAAGGATGGAGCAGATTAGTAGTGTCCCTCCAGATACTTTTGATACACGAGGCCCAGTGACACAAAATTGAACTCAAATCTTTGCATTGCAACAGACCATTGCTTATAACGACCATATTAAACTAATTCTTAGTGGTTTACCCTCTTGTAATTATAGACTTTATTTGTGCTTTTATTACACAAACACCTCGAGTTATTTGGTATTTTATTACCTGAAGCATGCTGCGCCATTCTCTTTTACGGGAAGAGGAGATGCTTGAAGGGAAATAACTTTATTTCCTGGCAGAGTGATTTGTTTTAGTACTGATCCTTGCAAAAAAAAAATGCATAAAAAGCAAGAAAATGGTCAAAACATTTTTTCTTTATCAAACATTTTGCCCCCCCATAAAAAGGGGGCTATTTTCATACATATAAAGCAGACTGTTTATACAGTGAAGAGCACAATCTACACAAAACACATGTTCACACACAATTCTGTTCTTGTCCAAACCAGAGTCTCACGTCTGCTATTACTGGGGTGTTGCCATGTCAGCTGCTGCATTCTTCATTACATCATTTAACTTATAAACTCAAAGACTCTCCCAAAAGATCAGTTCCAGGTGGAGAGGGCCTTTAACCCTTTCCCTGCCAAGGACGTATGGCATACGGAGGAACAAAAGTGTTCCCGGCTGGCCAAGGACGTATGCCGAACGGACCTGGCATTTACAGTTCTGCTAAAGCGACCATGAGCTTATACTGGAACTGTTCCCCGGACTGTCCCCTTCAAATTAATAGCTGTCATCAGCGGCTCACAAGCCGCTGATGACCGCTATTAGCAAAAATACTGCTCCAGGGAGGGATGAAAGACCCATGGATCCCCGCTGCTGTCCCCCGCTTGTAGGATCTGTGGCAGCGGGGATCCGAAGTAAAATCACAGGCGGGGGGGGGG